CGCACATGGGCCCGGCATGAGTTTAAGCCACCGGGTCCGGGACTCAAACTGTGGTCGACTACATGGGAGTCCAGCGATATAGCCATTATGCTAACTGCTGGTCCCGAATCATTTTATTTTTAATAAATGTTATAGTATATCTCCTATTTTTCTATTAGTTTTCTATTTGTCTCATGTCCTTTTGTTCCATTATTCCTCCTTTACTGTCATTTTTGTTCTAATTTTTTTACAGTGTACCATTTTATTGCTCTTGTTTTTTTGTTTGTTTGTTTGTTTTAATTAGTTTTTGGGAAATTATTTTTCTTAGTGGTTCTTCTGGGAGAAATATAGTATGCATCTTAACTAAAAACAATCTATTTCAGATAATACTAACTTAAATCTAGTAAAATATAGAAATTGCTCCAATATAGCTTTGTTCTTTCTCCCTTGACTATTGTTCATATATATTAGTACTTATATGTTATGTTCATAATAATCTAGTTTTATAATAATTGTTTTATGTCATCTTTTAAATAATAAAAGAGAAAAACTATCTTTATACCATCTCTTATATTTAAGTAAAAAATTGCCTTTCTTGTAGTCTGATTTTGTGTGCATGTATTTGTATTAATGATTTTTTTCACCTTTCAAGTGCTTCAGATTATTTACTTATTTATTTTTACATTTAATCACTGTACATTTTTGCAGCATACAAAATTAATCTCCCAGCCTGAATACGCTATGTATTAGTCCATTCAAAGATATTACCATATAAGTCATCAGTAATAGATAATTTTCCACTTTTGTATCTGTTAAATGTTTTGCTTTTTTTCCCTTTGAGTCCCTCCCTCCCACCCTCCACTGCTCACTGTGTTAATGTTTAGTGTCATTTCCCTTCAGTCTGAATCACTTCCTTTAGTATTATTTGTAAGATAGGCCATGTTTATCTGAAAATGTCTTGATTTTACCTTCATTTTTGAAATATATTTTTTGCAGGACATCAGATTGTTGGGTGACAGGTTTTTTTTTTTTTTTTTTTTTTTTTTTTTTTTTTTTTTTTTTGCCATAGGGTATGTATGCTCACTTTTTCTGGACCTCCAAGATTTCTGATGAGAAATTAGCTATTGATTTACCTAGGCCTCTCCACCCCACTTGTATGTAATAATTCCTTTTCTCTAGCTATTTTCACGTTTTTCTCATTGTCTTTGCCTGCCAATACTTTTACTATGATGAGCCTCGTGGATTTCTCTGTGGTTATCTTTCTTGGATGTGTATATTAACATTTTAAATCAATTTGGGGAAGTTTTTGGTGATTTTGTCTTCAGTTTCCCCCCTTTTTCCTCTCTCTTTTCCTTTGTGAGCTTTAAGTATGAATATGTTGGTACACTCAATGGTGTCTCACAGGTCTCTCAGGCTCTTGTACTAGTTCTTTGTTTTATTTTTTTTCTGTTCTTCATATTAGGCAATTTCTATTGATTTACAGTAAAATTTTCTGATTCTTTTTGCCATTCAAATCTGTGGTTAAGCCTGTTGGTGATTTTTTGTTTTTAATTTCAGTTATTGTGATTTTTAACTTCAGAATTTAAAACTGGTTCTTTTAAAATAATTTCCCTTTATTGATACTCTATATTTAATGAGTCATTGTTTTCATATACTTTAAAATTCTTTGAGCATGGTACCCTTTAGTCTTTGAACATATTTTTAACATCTGCTTTGAAGTGTTTGTTTGGTAAGTCTATCACCTGGAGTCCTTCAGATACTGTTTCTATTGCTTGTTTATTTTGGGGGAGGGTGCATGGGACACACTGTCCTGTTTCGTTTGTTTATTTTGATTTTTGCATGTCCCATAAATTCTTTTTGAATGCTGGATTTTTTTTTTATCTTTTATTTTGGAGAGTTTTTTTTTTTTTTTTGCTATAGGGCGTGTGCGTTCCCCAGAAAGACAGAGAGAGACAGAGAGACAGAAAGTGAGAAATCACCCCCCAGTGGGGATGGCCACGCCACAATACCTTCTCTTCCATTCTCCTATTGGGATCTTGGGCACGCACTCATACGCGCCCAGTGTGAGTTTAAGCGACCAGGTCCGGGACTCGAACCGTTATTGACTACATGGGAGTCCAGCACTATAGCCATTACGCTAACTACTGGTCCCAATGCTTGATCTTTTTTGATAATACATTGTAACAACTCTGAATTCTGATTTTCTTCTCCCCTTGTTTGTTGTTGCTATTTTGTTTGTTATCTGTTTAGTGACTTGCCTGAACCAACTTTATAGTGTCTGCCTCCCAAAAGGTATGTAGCCACTCATTTTTCTTCAAAAAAAAAAAAAAAAAAAAAAAAAAAAAAAAAAAGAGAGAGAGAACCTCAATATGAGGTGTGTGATTTTATTTTTAAGCCTGGTTTTCTGGAGTCATACTTGAGTCAGGATAGCAGCTTAGTGATCACTCAAAAGTTTGTCAGAGGTTGTATTTAAACATCTTGAGCCAATAAAGCTTTTACCCTATGTTGATGGATCTGTGTATGGTTGGGAAATGGCATTCAAAGTTTACGCAGTTTACAAATATGTCATAGCCTTTCTGTGCTTGTAAAGTCTCACATTCATCTAGGTACAAATAACCTACTAAAGTCCTCTCCAGTCTTTCTTGAGCATAAGCACAGCGATATGCACATGCACAACCTTCCACATCCCCAGGAATTTGCAAGAATTTACCAAGGTTCACACTCCTGTCTTGGTCACTAGATCTTGGTGATACATTTCTTGCCTTTCTGCTGGCAGATTGTTTCACCAGCCAGTATAGCAACTTTGGAATAGTTGTGATTTTGTTCTCTGATGATTGGCCACCACAATTGCTATTGTTTTCTTTTATTATTATTTTATTTTAAAATTATTTATTATTTTTATTTTAATTTACATATGTCTTCACAATGCACATCATTTCTTTTTCCAGGACGAGTACCATGCATATCAATCAATACAAAGACATTACTAAATACATTATTGTCAGCAAATAGCTTTTCATTTTTTTTATCAATTAAATGTACTTTTTTTGTTCCCTTTCTCCTCCCTCCCTCCCTCCATTATCCACTCCCATATTACCCCTACCCTTACTGTCGCTAGTATCTACAGTTGCCTTCCCTGATACTACTATACCTTTCAAACTTTCCACTTCTGCTATTGAGTGCAGACAATTGGTATATATTGAGTGGGGACATACAAAGTCTTATCTTTCATAGTTTGACTTGCTTCACTTAGCATTAAGTCTTCCATATTCATCCACTTCGTATCAAATGTCAAGTCTTCTTTTTTTATGACTGAGTAATATTTTATATCATATATATACCACATTTTTTCAATCCAATCATCTGTTTTTGGACATATGGGTTGATTCAATGTCCTACTGATTGTAAATAATGCTGCAATAAATACGGATGGTGCAAGTGCTTTTCTGACAAGGGTTTCTCTATCCTTTGGGTAAATACCTAAAAGTGAAATTACTGGGTCATATGGTAGTTCTATTTGTGGGTTTCTTAGGAATCTTCAGATCATTCTCCAAAGCGGTTGTACTAATTTACACTCCCACCAACAGTGTAAGAGAGTTCCCTTTTCACCACAGCCTTGCCAGCACTTATTATTTATTTTCTTAATTTTAGCCATTCTGACTGGGGTGAAGTGGTATCTCATTGTGTTTTTGATTTGCATTTTCCTTGTGGTAAGAGATGTCGAGTACTGGGACCAGCAGTTAGCATAATGGCTATGTCGCTGAACTCCCATGTAGTCGACCATGGTTCAAGTCCTGGACCCAGCGGCTTAAACTCACACCAGGCGTGTGTGCATGCATGCCCAAGATCCCAAGAGGAGAACGGAGGAGAAGGGATTGTGGCGTGGCCATGCCCCCTGGGGGGTGATTTCTTGCTTTCTATCTCTCCGTCTCTCTCTGTCTTTCTGGCAAGCGCACGTGCCCTATAGTGAAAACCTCTCCAATAAATAAATAAATAAAAGAGATGTCGAGTATGTTGTCATATGCTTTTGGGGCTGGTCGCGTCTTATTTGGAGAATTGTCTGTTCATCTCCTTTTCCCATCTTTTAATTGAATTGATATTTTTTTTCTGGTGGGTAAGCTGCTTTAATTCCCTGTATATTCTGGTTATCAGTCCTCTATCTGAGGTATAATTTGCAAATATATTCCCCCACTCTGAAGGTGGTCTTCTCACTCTACTTGTTTCTTTGGCTGTGCAGAAGCTTCTCAGCCTAATATAGTCCCATTTGTCTATTTTAAAGACTATTGCCTGTACTTTGGAAGTCTTTTTTAAGAAGTCTTTTCCTACTCCAGGGTCTCCAAGAATTTTTCTTGTGTTTTTCACCAGTATTTTTATAGCTTGAGGCTTTATGTTTAGATCCTCTATCCATTTTGAGTTAATTTTTGTTAGTGGTGAGAGATAAGGATCTAGTTTAATTCTTCTGCAGGTGAAGAAGCAGCTCTCCCAGCACCAGCTTTTATACTAAGAGGTCAATTAAAATTTTATTACTAAATATCAATTCAATGAATCATCTATATGAAATAATTTACTCCAATGTTGAAAACTTTAAACATAAACTTGAGGCAAGATATCAATAGAAAACAATTAATTATGGTGCTATCTACTTTTCAACACATTATATCAGTATTTTATTTAACTTAATTTTGCATATAATTTACATAAGTAAACACTATCAAAAGCCATAATGCTATAATTTCATATTTGCCATAGTATATAATAATATATACTAATATGCTTAATTTTAATCTAACAATTAAAAATCAAGTTATCACTTT